AAAGCCATTGAACACGTCTGAACACACACAGGCTCCAAACACAGATGGTGTTTCCTGCATGCAGCTTGGCTGTTCACACACGACCCGGTCCCTTTGGTCACTCGCCCAATTATCACGTCTCTGACAGATCATGTGTCCAAACACAGACGCAGACCGTCATCCACATGTACCTGCAGAAAACCTCCACATCTCTGAAGTTCAGCTATAGAGTTGGTCACTATCTGATGAGATGATGGCAGCTCTTCCTATTGAGTTATTGTGACCTTGACTGAAGCGTCTTATTAAGCAAGAATCTGTACAGCATTTAAAGAATCTATTACAGAAATTATAGTATAATATGTTTTTCAGGCACAGTCCCATTTTATAGCCCACTAAATTAACTATGTTGACTTCAGATGTAATAAAAAGCTATGCATTTCACATATGATTTAAAAGAAATTTCACTTTGTAATTTAGCACCTTGAAATCGGGCCTCTATCGCTTTAAAAATTCCTGCTCTTTCTGAAACTCCACCTTCTGAAAGTCATCACAACATGGCTCCTCTGTTAACCCTTTGACTGAGAAGAAGCTCCTATAATGAGCTCAGCAGTTCCACCAGGTGTTTGCTAATTGCTGCTGGCTAGTCTGAAGGAGCAGAGTGGGGCAGTCGTAGGAGAAGGCTGCTCTGTGAAGCAGAAGCTCGGAAGCTTACAAACTACAGCTCTGGTGAGAAGCTGCGTCTCAGAGGGGGAGCTAGGTCCAACCAGGCATTTTGGACAGCTGAATGGTTGCCATGGAGATTAAAGGATTTCTCAAACATGCACGAAAGAATCAAAACAATACTCTAGGTATGTGTTGGATGATTGAATAACTTTATAACATGATGTAAAGCTCAAAATAATTCACATAATACGGCCCCTTTAATGAGCTGCTATGATCCTGACAGTATCGTCTCATTAAACACTAATCTGTACAGAGACAACATCAGCTCAGAGCTAAAAACATTTAGGAATCTATTACCTAAAAACATAATTAACTCCGATAAAACCAACTTGATGGACACGGTTTTTGTAGGGTGGTAATGGACTACTGATCCACTCTCTGGGATCAGACACACAGCTGTGACACACCGTTAAATTTAAATCTAATCCACTGATGTGGGTGGCTTCTTCACACACACATACACACACACACACACACACGCACACACACACACACACACACACACGGCGCTGAGAATAATGGCATAATTCCCCATCAAAAATGGTGATGTCTTCCCTCTCAAACACCTATGTTTAAATATTGTTGAGAAAAAAAGAATTTAAATGTAAATGAAAAAAAAATCAAACAATTAATCGATTTTCTTCACCGACTTCCTTTTATCTCAATTTCCAGCTGTTATGAATTGAAGCTTTGAAACATAATAATATAATCAGCCTGTTAGATGGAGTTTCACTGCAGTAGCTGCCCACAGTTTACACACAGGACAACATCCAAGAGGTTAAAGGTCAAAAAACCATTAGAAACAAACACAAATAAACATTAGTACTACACCAACACGCTAACTAGCAGAAGCTAATACTGAAGAGCTAACTTCTTTTTAAATTATATGAGCTAAATGTGCGTCTAACTCCAGTAAAACCAGCTGGTTTATTATGGGATTACTGGACTGACGCCTATGAAAACACTGGGAAACAGAAAACATGTCACAGATGTAGGAAGATCTGCGCTAAGTAGCACAGGTGAGTCCCAACAGAAACATCATTAAGTACATCATGAAACCATAGGAGACATAATTACCAGGCAGCTTTAATGAAGCCACTCAAGCAGATGAAGGTTCAGCGTCTGCAGGAGGAAACCAGCAGCACTGGGGTTGGATTTAAAATCAGAACTGACCCCAGATCAGTGAGGAAAAATCCACTTATTACAGATTCAATCACAGAAAACCTGAGCAGCCGGGAAAAGAAACAGGTTTTTATTTCCAAGCAAGTAGTCCCCAAAAGTCCAAACCTGTTCTGACTCAGATTGGATCTGGATTTCTTTTTTATCACTTTAATAACATTAAATGAAAAGAATTCCCCGGATTTACCCTCAGCCTAGTTTGGTTTTATTATCTGTATTCCCCACAAACCAACAAACTGGAGGTGGACTCTGATTTGGCAGTGGCTGTTTTCAGCTTTTTGCACCTTTTTTTGGCAGAAGCTCCATTTCTGAGCTGTTAGCTTGTCATGATACAATATCAGTTTTCAGTCAGAGGCGTCTTCAGCTTGGTTGTAAGCCTGGCTGATACAGGAAATCCTTCCCACAGCATCACTACTCAAAACGACTATTTGAAGATACTTGGATGATTTCAGTTACAACAATATTTTGTTTCGCTTTGGATCAGCAAAGTTTTTTTGTTTAAATCCTAAAATTTAGAGAAAGTAGTGGAGGCACCATGATGATGGAAATTAAAAAAAGAAGGGAGGGAAATATTTGTTTTAGTTAACATATTTATTGCAATATTCAGCAATATATTGTCAAATATTAATAATATTGTATCACCCTCGCTGACAAAAATTAAATTATTCCTTTCGGTGAAATGTGATTTATCTAAAGGTTTTCCATCAGTGTAAAAAAATCTAAATACAGATGGACAGAATGTTAAACTCAAGTTGTTATGTGGCTAAAAAGGATAAAATGTGTCAATTAAATGGAAATCAGACTAAAAAGCACATCGTTTATCCTGGACAATATAGTAAGGCACAATGTCTGGAAAAAAAAACATCTGAAAAAGACAAATTTAACAGAAATTCACGAGCCTGACAAACAACTAATAAAGAAAGTTATATTCAAACCACAAGCAGACCAAGAGGAACAATAAGATCATCAGTTCTGAAGAAATAAAGAGCAGAGAGGTTTGAGCTTATGGATTCTTCTTCTGTCCTTTGATTAGACAGCTGACAGACCAGCACATGATCGCCACCTATGAGGCTCCAGTAAAAACTGCAATTATAATAATGCATTACATCAGACACTAATAATCTAAATCAACCTGGATCTCATTTCCTTTAGAAAACAACATGCCAGCCTCATCTGGACCATTTTCCTCTACTAACTTACACCATGTCAGCAAATGTGTTTAAGTTTATTCTGCAGAACCGGTCCGGATAATCAGTTTGCTAAACACGGAGGGAAGCTCGGGCTTCCTTCTTCTTCAAAGCTGCAGAGCATGAAAACTGCAGCTCTGTCAAAATTCGCAACATTTTTAAAGTGCAACCAAACTGCAGGAAGGTTAGCAACTGTTCTTCCGCGCCTGCGGACCAATGAGGAGGCAGCATTCAGAGGAGGAGGTGGAGGAACGTCACAGGACCTCAGAGCAGGAGACCTGGATGTTCTTCAGGGCAGCTTTCTCCCTGGACTCCATTCTTCTCTTTAGCTCATTAAATCTTTCAGTTATTTATCAGAGATCTGCTTCAAACACAAAGCAAAAGCCTCTGTTTCTTTTTAAATTTAACAACACCACCAAGCCCTGTAAACCAGCAGCATGTGACACTGGAATGAAGATCTGAAAACCTTCAGAGGCTGAACACACCATGCATGTTGGGAAACAAACAACTACTGTAGTGATGGGTAAATATGTTCACACACAGTAAACCTGTTCACATTGTGCCACAACACAGAAACAGACTTCGATGTATTTGATAGGTTTGAACCGATAAATCGGCCCCCATTTCCTTAATTTCAGGAGAGAATAAAAAATAATCAGGTCTATGTTGAAGAATTCACCAGTGTTGAAAGTCCCACTTGAACCTAACAAGTGCTGCAGTAAATGATTATTCTGTCGATTCATCAGGTAAAAACAAATTGGCACATTCTGCACATGTTTTATTTAACTATTTAAGCCTTTCTATACAATATTTAAATTACATTAAAACAATTAAGTTCCTTCTTAGGAAATAAACATTTTATAGTCTTAAATGCAAACACGGCATTCCTTTAGTTTACATTTGATCATTTGTAGCAAAGGATGAATCTGCTGCTAACAACCATTTCTAACATCAACATGTGATTAGCTTGGCCATTTCTACTGGACTGGGCATCAATACAGGGTAGGGCTGATTATGATGATGATTATTATTATTAATGGATTAGTAATTGGATAGCAAAAGGTGTCTAAAGTGAGGTTTTTTTTTAAGAATTTGAACCAGATGAAGCTAAAACTTTCCCACCTTAGGAGTTCAGGATGGAACATATTTACAGATGAAAGGTTTCTTTTTCATCTTAATGCAAATATATACATTTTTGACACAGTTTACTGCTTGAATTGTGTTACTCTTTCAGAAAATAGCATTTTTTGAGTCTATATAAGCCAGTTAAGGATTAATCAAATACTAAACACTAAACTGATTAAACATTTCAGCTCTACTTGCATTTGGCTGCAAGAAACACACTAGACCTAACACTTGAATACAAATGCACACAACCATTTTCTGCCACTTTACTATTTTGCCCCAATAAGTCTCAATAAACTCTATTAAAGTTTGTGGTTGCAAGTTTATTAAATGTGGAAAAATTCATGCAGCATGAATACTTTTGTGAGCCACTGGGTTTGATTTACTGAGCATTTCATCCACCAAGACGAGAAAAGAGACAGCGGAAAAGGAAGAAAGCTCTGCAGAAAGACAAAACAGCCGTTGAAATTGCAAAACCAAACAGTTTGCAGTAGTAAAAAACTGGAGGTTTAGCACAGCAGTGACAACACCCTGCTGCCTCCAGCAGCTGATCCCCCCACTGAGCTTTTATCGATCAAACCAACTGCATTTCTGCATATCCACACCCGAGCGTGTGCCGCTCTCAGCTCCGTGGATCTGGGTCGGTTTGAGCAGGTGGACCTGCAGACTCACTGAAGACTTCTACTGTACATTTTACATTCACCGATTAAAAAAAACAAAAAAAAAAAACAGAAGGAAGCAAAGTGGGAGAGGAAGGATGAGGGGAACCTTTACAGAGTTACTGGACCGTGATTATGGAGGACTTACTTCATTTGTTTGACGATGGTGCTTTTCCCTGACTCTCCAGCCCCTGAGGGAGAAAGACAGAAGAAATCAGTGTAAACAGTGTGTGTGTGTGTGTATGTGTGCGTGTGTGTATGCGTGTGATAGACAGAAGGGAGGTAGAGGAGGGAGTGGGAGGAACAGAGGAAGAAATGGGAGCTTGAGCTGAGCAGCAGGGGGTGCAGATAAAAATGATGGAGAAAGTGGCTGCACCTTTTCTCCTCATTTTCTTCCTCCACCCTCCATCTTGTGACTTAGTTTGACAAACAGATTAAATCCTTAAAGGTTGCGCTCCCTAAAAAGAATCAATAATGAGCAAACACTGCTGCTGGGCCTGCTGCTGCTGCTGCAACCTGCCATTTTTTCCATCTGCAGCTCTCACCTCTCTGTTGCTTTCTGGAACATTTTACCACCTGCCACACCTTTTTCATCACTTAAACTCCCTCATTTATTAAATGTGACTAAAAAAAATTTAGGTTGTATTTTAGAAAAAAATGACAATTCATGACGCCCATGAATTCAATTCTCATTTTTCTTCTTATCTCTGAGGCGTCGTGTTTCTGCTGTAATTTTACTCCCCCGGTTCCCTCCATCACCGCCACACCTTCCGCCGCCCAGGCTGGCCCGCTCCCCGCTCCCCGTCCCTCGGCCTTACCGAGCAGCAGCAGTTTGACATCTTTGGCCGCAGTCAGCCCGTCCTCCTTCAGGTTCTTCTCGATGGCTTTGCTCCGGTCCAGAGCCGCCCTCTCCTCTGCGCTCAGCGTACATCCCATGGTTAGAGAACACAGCTTGATGGCGTTACCGGTACCAGGATCCACGCAACGAAAACGCACCAGACCAGCGGGTTTATATCAGAGAGGAGGGGAAAATATCAAATCTGACTGCAGATCCTTTGAATTGTGAATATTTCCACCTTTTCTGAGCTCTGCCTTCGATCCCCTGGTTCTCTCTGGGCAGATCCCTCTTTCTCTCTCAAGCCGGACGCAGACGCTCCGTTAGCGCATTAAATCGGCGATCCTGTCGGTGTGATCCAGAAGAAAGGAAGCGAGCACGGTGGAGCCACCGCAGCTGGCTTCGTGTCCGTTTTCGTGGCGTTCTCCTGACGGTGGAAACCTCCGTCCCTTCGGGTCTCCTCGGCGCTGGTTCGGCTGGTTACTGGGCGGCGGTGGGCTGCGCTCGCATCGCTTGGTGCTTCTTCCTGCGGCTGGCGCACAGCGGACCGTTTCCTCCGTTCGGCTCCTCCGGGGCGCGCTGCGGGGACTCGCTCTGTAGCTCTGCTGCCTCCCGGTAGATCCGGTAAGGGCTCGATCTCTCCTCCGTTGGTTCCTTCGTTCACTTGCGGCTTGCTGACGTCACAGCAGTAACAGTTAGTGCGGGAGAGCGTCCAGCCGCTCCCTGTGGCGCGGCCTGGTGGTGCGAAGTGAAACACGTGCAACTAAATAAATTAGAGCAACGCAGAAATGTTCTTGTATTTATGTAAATAAATGTTAATTTGCATTAAAAATTCAGTTGAAAAGTAAAACATTTTGTGGATTTGTCTGTTTTTGTCTTATACCAAAAACATAAAACTCAGTTTGTCTAACAACATAAACATGACAAGATGAATTAATTTTTTTTTTCCTGAAGAATCTGTGGTTTTAGACTTTCCTAAACTGCTGACTTGACAGTTGGCCAACAAACAGCAAGTTAGCCACAGAAGGACACTCCCGGAAAGTTTAGTGGAAGGAAAAGGCCTCTAGAAAAAGTGATGACTGCAGTCTTGACCAATTGTGAAATTGAAACAAAACGCATTAGGAGTTTTCTGAAAGATTTGCAAACTACAACTGTTCTCTTTTCATTTCAAACTAAATTTAACTTTTATTAAGGTCACAGGATCCAAGGGAGGGGTGATGAGGCACAGAATGTAAGTGAGTCAGCTCCGGTGGGAGATTTCAACCACCAGTCCAGAGTCATCATTTTGATGATTATGGCTTTCAGCTAAACCCAAAAATCAGAACATAAAATCAGACCAATAGAGGAGCAAATATTGCTGTCAAATACACCAAAGTTATGCTAAGCAGACAGTCTGCGCTTCCATTACAAATGTGTGTAAAACTTTGTGGATGTTCTGTTAATGTTGAAAAAACACAAATTTGCAATTGCAGTGTTTTATTTAAATAACAAATACAATTTGTTTACAATCATGCCCCAGCTTCCTCCTACTACTTCCTGTTGTCTTCTTTGTAGTTTCCACCAGTAGTAACATCCAGTTGTGGATCACGTGACTCAGGTGATGGGAAAAAAAAAGTGTTTCTATTGCAGTTTTGCGAAATACACTCACTTTGATACAGATGAAAAACTTCCTCATCCTAGCCCAAACATTTTATAGAAAAATGTGAGCTTTTCTAAATTGCAGAATTTTCATTAAGCAAATTTATTCTTGTAATTCCAATTTGCGCAATTTTATGCTTAATGGGAACGGAGCTGGTGACACCCTCCACTGGGAGGTCATCACTACAGAAACTGGCTGTTCACATCTTTCTGTGTCCACGCATTTTAATGTAAAATTGAGTAGAAGGAAAAACTGTAGTAGAATCTCTACAAGCAAGAAGGATAAAGGCTTTAGACTTTCACCCTTTGGTGATGAAAAAAACAATGAATAGATTTATCACTGCTTTATAGGAGCCATTTGCCCTTTGTCATTTTTTAACTCAACCAAAGAAAACATCTTCCTGACAAGCTTTAAAGACGCCAAAGACCAAGTTTTAAATTGGATTTTTCTATTTTTCCCATTATGTCGACATAACCCTGGTCACTCCTTCACATCCAGGTATTATTTTATGTCTGAATGATCACAGTCCATTCCTGCACAAGGAAAAGATTAACTGCAATGACTGCAGAAACATTCTGCCGACCCTCTTATCAGCTGTCTGTCAATAATCAAGTCATCTACTTAAAACCATTTGCTCCCATTGAATCCAGCTGAATCTTAAAGTGGTCCTCCTGCCGTCGTTCTTCCAGCTTCAATTTTCTAAAGGCAGCCATACAAGTGTTTCACCAGCAGAGACAAAGGATTATAAATAATCTGTTCAACGAAAAGCAAAAATTGATAAACTATTAATGGAGTCAAAAATAGCTCCGGTCCTCAGCTTGCCTGAATGAAAATGCTTTCAGATATCCTTCAGTGGATGATTAACTGTTTCAGTCATCAAGGTCACCGTCAGAAACGATTTCTCTGATGTAGTTTTTGCCTGCAACGTTTTTATCAAACTCAATTTCTCCAGTTTTCTATCTTTAAAGACACACAACACTGCTTACAAAGGTTTTAGATTTCCACTTTGAACTGATAATAGCATCTCTATACATTTAATTAAAATATTTTTTGTGCCAAGTCACAATATTCAGAAATGTTACAAGTGATAAAAAGTGACACGTTCTAATATTTGACAGCACTGATTAAAAAAAATCATCCTCTAAGACAAGATCAGTGAAAAACTGAAGAATTGTTTCACAAGACCACTTTAACACTATTTCAAAATATAAAGGAACAGAAAGTGACTGAAAGGACTCGAACTATGTTGAGAATAAAAAGACTTATGTCAAAATACTTTTTTTCTCAAAAAGAGGAATGTTCTGTATTTTTCCACCCGACAATAAACAGCTTTCCATGTGTGCCTGTATAACTTCACTGTATAAAATGAATAGCCCATTTTCTTCATGCAGTCATGGAAAAATAGTTTTCACATTAAAACTTAATAAAAATGAAGATCTCAAACAAAATAATGAGGCCAAAATTAAGTTTGTGTGTGAATCCTTCTTCCTTGCAACTCCTGCAGGATTTAAGTATAAAAGTAGCAGCCAGTTAATGCTAATCAAAGGCCTTTTTTAACTAATCACTGTTAATGTCTCTATGAAAGCAGCCATTCTGGTTGTGTAAGAGGAATGTGTTAACACCACGCTACAGTCGAAAGTCCAGGCAGTGCTCCTCATTAATCTGAGAATCAAGCCATTTTCATCATTCAGAAATGGTACTCACAAGTAGAAACATTTAAAGCTGCAGTAGGTAACTTTTACAAATATATTTTTAATCAAGTTTCAAGTTCAAGTTTATTTCTAGCATATTTCAGCAATAAGGCAGTTCAAAGTGTCTGACATCATAAAAAACAAAGTCATAGAACACACAGTCAGCAATAGAAGCATTACATTTTGTCAAGTGCCATCGTTACACATCAGAATGTATGTATGTATATGTTAAAACTGTCACTTTGCCATGACAGAATAAAATGAGATGAAAAGTCAGTGAAAAAAAATCCAGTTCCTGTCCTACTGCCATCTGCAGAAATACACAGTTTGGTCAGAAACAACCAATCAGAGCCAGGAGGAGGCGGATCTTGGCACTGTCAATCATGCCACGGATGCTCAGGCTAGTTAGCATGGTTATCGATGATGGTGGATAAACAGCTTTTATGGAACGCTAATTTGTTTCCATGCAATTTGGACATCGAGTAGCGCATACCGAAGCAGATTGACAGCACTAAGAACTTCCTCCTGGCTCTGATTGGTTATTTTTAACCAGGAGTGGTGTATTTCTGCAGGTGGCAGAAATACACCAACAGGGAGCTTTATTTGTTTTTCACAATGTTTTTCACAGCAAACATTTTGCAAACTTCAACATTTCAAGTTTGTGAAATGTTAAAGTTCATATCAGGACAATTAGAAAAAAGTTTCAGTAAGTGTGGCTGTTTAGAGCAATGGAGAACGTGGTGGCATGTTTTAGGTGTTCAGGTCTACGTCTGAATGAAGTTGGTTCATGATGCACTGCACCATGTTAGCAAAAAGCAAGCGCAGCAGATCAGCACAAACTGCTCACACCAACTTTCAGGCGCGGTGGGGGAGGTGCTGTGCAACCACAAGGCCTGGGCACCTCGCAGTCACATGGGGGACCATGAACTCCTAGCATACTGAACTGCTGTAAAGACAAATGTGAAAAAATCTGACTGACAGCTACAAGACAGGCCAACTGAGTCACCACAGCGAAGAAGCAGCGCTGCAGGTAGCAGAGTGGAGGGAAACTCCAAGTCTGACCAACTTCTAACTACTTTCTACTGAATTATGGGATGTACTTAGTTTTCACATACATACAGTTTACTATCTAGTTTGGTTTCATCTTTGTGTAAATATGGACAGTGTGGAATCTGTGTGTTTTGTAGCCTTGAAATTAGATTGGACCAATCTTATAATCCAGTAAAGAACAGAGTAAATAAAACCTTAATAGTCGAATGAACTTTTCTTTTATGACTTCTAGTTGAAAAGATCAACATCCAATACGATATTATCTATAATAGAATAAACCCACCTTTAGACAACAGTTAGCTGAGCATCAGGAAATGTTAACATCAGGAAATGTTAAGCTTCAAGAAAATATACATTTTAACAGTATAACAGATCATTAAGTTACAAATTTTAATGTATAAAGCGAACCACAGCCACTTTGAAGGACATGTACATAGAAACACGAGGCTAGCATAAAGTTTGTTTCGATTTTCTGTTAGATGTGAACTCTCTCAGCAGACTGTGGTTTCTGTTATAGAAGCACCACAACACACACACACACACACACACACACACACACGCACACGCATACACACACACACACACAGAGCGAGAGAGATACAGACAAGAAATAGTGATGTGATGCAAGACTTTGTGGGAAAGTGTAAGAACTAGAAGATTGCCTCAAACTGCGTGAGGTGGGACCCACTGACTGGCAGCGAGGAACTGAGGAAGCTGAAACCCATTTCTGCAACACAATACATGTGAAATATGCGCTGACAGCAGTTTCTTCTTCCACTTCACCCTGTTCAGGCCTGAAGACTGGTCCACAAACAGGCTTCTTTCACTGGGATGTTCAACTGAGAGGTTTAAAAACTCCTTTGTCCCACGGACCATCAGGCTTCACAATGCTGTGACTTCTGGGAAGGTTAAAGGAGGGAGATGGAGTAATTAGCATTTTTAATGTATTTATTGTATTTAAGTTCTTTTTACTAGATCACTTTTAATGCGTGTGGATGTGAATTAATGTGTGAGCAACAGACAATCTTAATTTCCCTATGGGATTAATAAAGTTTTTTACCTTACCTTACCAAAATCGTTTTTAGACAATATCATTTTAGTCTGCTCAGTTCTGCCTTTTTTGATCTCCTTTCAGATTCACTTGTTTT